AGTCCCACTTAAATGGAAGTTTCAAATTTATTTCCTCAGCATAGTATGGAAGTTATACTCCATCTCTTTCATTGTATATGTATAGTGTAAACACATTGTTCCCCTCTGAGGCAGTGTTCTAAAGGAACCGAGAAATGTGAATATCCCAGAATTTCCTTGGCTTTTTATCCAGCTCCAATAGGTCTTAGTACAGAGGGATAAGATAAGCACTACTAAATGCAAAATATGGCTACTGATGCAATGTTAAGGATATGTATATCCAGAAGTCACTGCTGAAATTGTGGTTCAACCTAGTTTGCTTTCACACATAGCTGTAGTAGCATGGAGGTCAGTGTTGGCTAAATTCATGAGTATTTACAGTGCTTCTCAGGCATATTTTGCAGACTATGATGAGATCCATGTTCTTGTGTTCCATGTTCCTTCAGATTAACCCTGCTTTGAAGGTTTAAAGGTAGCTCAAATATGTCTATGTGAACTGCCATTATAACAGTGTCATCAGTGTGGAAATCCCCTAAAACAGCTTACTTGAAAACACCAAAACTCAGAAAATGCAACATTTAGGGTGCAGGCAGAAGTGAATACCTAGAATTAATAGACTATTCTAGAGTTCATCAATAAGAAACTCTAAAACCTGATTCTGTCTGATATTTTTTTGCTTTTCTGACATTCTCTTTAGAGGATTTGCAGTATGTGGGTCAATGAGTAAGTTACAATCTTTCTCACACAAAATCAATTGAGCAGTAGCTGAAGGGCAGCAGTCCTTGTATGTGATAGGCCCTGGGTCAATCTAGAAAGGAGAAACTCATAGTATTGGGATGAAGATTTGATAGGTTCTGCTAACCCCTTAGCAGATGCCTACTAGATACATTCAGAAGTGATCCTTCTGCCATTTATTTTTTCCACCTAAGCCAAGCAGAGGCACTCATCAATGAGGATTCCCTATGTGATGTGATTCACCTAATTATGTTGAATTCCTTTTCAAGTAAGTGGGAATGGTATATTCTGCCTCAGTAATGCAGAGTTCAGAAACACGTGAAGGAATTTTCATCCAAGTGTTCAATTGTTTACCTTGGAACAGGAGCCAAGAATGGAAAATTTAAATCCAAAGGGATTTAGGAAAATTGTCAACACATGAAAAAAGGAATTAATTGATTTTCACCACTGACTACACTGGGTGTTTCTAGGAACCTGCTACAATAATGTTCTGATTTTCAAATGAAAAATTTAAGCGAAGTGCTACAGACTGTATTTCAGAAACTCCATGTGGTTAATGTACTATTGTAGTTATTCTTCACCCAAAGTGCTGCCTGATACATTTTGCTAAGTTGTCTAAATCTTGCTGTAGTATTGATTTCTCCCTCTAAGAGCTCTCACCCACTCAGTAAGCTCCAAGGACCCCTTGTCCTGGCTCAATTCATGCTAAAGCACAGCTGGGATATGTTACTCCTGACAGTGGAATACTAACTGTCCTCCCATCAATAAGTGAATATTAGGAAGTATTACATGATTTTAGAAATGAAAAGAGAACTGTTGTTTTACCATAGAAAAATAAATAATGGTTATTATAACTCCTGGAAATATCACTATTTTTTCCCAGAAAGAAAGATTTTTTTTCTTCTTACAGCTCCTTCAGATTCTTTGAAAACAGCTGGTTTTCCATTTACTGAGCACTTAACAGTAGCTACATTGAATTTATTAAAAGGAGAGTACAGATCATAATCCCATCATAATCCCAAGCCTGCAGAACCATTAAAAGTAATGAAAAGACACAAGTAGATATATAAAAAGTAAATTAACCATTCAGGCAGCATGGTCCAAAGGTTCCTTTTGCACAATATCATGGGAGTCTGCAAGGTAGGTTCTACATCAAAGCATTCAAATTACCTTACAGTCTTTGCTATTATTATTTTTTTTTTTACTGTTTTCATCCCTATTGTTTATTCTTTAATTGAAGTTTTTAAGGATATGCCTCAATCAAAGAACATGCACACAAAGGGGCCAATTTTGCTTATACTTTCTGAGAGTAAAGGTATTTGTCTACAGGTGCCTTTGCAGTATTGGTCCCTAAACTCTCAACTTGTTCATTTGCTTTACTACACAATAAATATTTTTTTTAACTTCTTTTCATTGCTAGAAGCTGATTTTAGACAAGACAATCAGAGAATTTGCTGCTTGAAGAAAAACACTTCTTATTATGGTGCTGTATCACTGCTTCTTAGACTAGCTTAGTCGCTTATTTCCTTCTATTATAATGCCAAATGTTATTTAGATTTCAGTCATTTAGTAATGCTACAGTGAACACATCAAGGATTCTGAAAAATTCCATACCTACTAGCCTCTTCATTTTCATAATAATCACATATTGATATCCTTTTTTCCCCAAAATTACACACACTGTTATTTAAAATATATCTTAGTGTCTTAACACAGTTAAAGAGATTATGATGCAATGAACAGCAGTCTTCAAAAACTCTCTTTCGTGTTATTAAGATACAGAAAA